AAAGATAGATAGATAGATAGATAGATAGACAGAGAGACAGATAGACAGATAGACAGATAGACAGATAGATAGATAGATAGATAGATAGATAGATAGTCTGTGTGTGCTGCTCTACTTACTGCTTAATTGCCTTATCTCTGGTTCATTTTAGGTAAGTCTGAACTCATTTTTACAATTATGTATGTTTGTGTCTGTGTGTGTACCTGCGCTCGTGCACTTGTGCACAGATCTCTGCAAGTGCAAGTGTGCATGCGTAAATGTACGCATAGATGCAAGTATGTACTTATATTGCATTGCAGTATTGCTGTTTGTGAAGCATCTCATATCTTACACACTAGGCAAAATGGGAAGTCCCGAGAAGGATTCAAAAGACTGTACAAAGCATCAACTGACAAGCCCCAACTCTCCAAGTCCAACAGCATTTTCGGCAACTTTCCGAAGCCTTCAATGCGTTGGGACTCTGGAAACCTGGATGCCCATAAATGCTAAACACCCTTACAGCCTGCACCCGCCTACACCCTCAACCTCCTGCCGACGAGGCACCTAAGCAATGTAGAGCGGCGAGACGACTCAAAGATCAGTAGGTCGCCGTCCTGGGCATGTCATTCTGGTACATTTGAGAAATGATGGGCTTCCGGGTTTCGAGATTAGAGTGTGCGGAAAGTGGGCAATACAGGATCCAAGAAGGTCACGGTCAGACCTTGCTGTTGCAAACCCTAAACCGTGAACAGCTGCTGGCGCACTCCCAAATCCCTGTTCCTGCTTGCTCTGCCCAGGTCCTTCGCTGGGACGATCTCGTACCAGCTGCCATCGCCCCCAAACCCTGCCAGAGGATCCCGGGCTTCTTCCTGCGCTGAGTGCCAAGGGACTGAACCGGTATTCACCTCAAGGTTTGTGGCATCTGCGCATCTACTATCACTCTTTAAGCTAGCCCTGGTTGTCAAAGGCCCTCAAACCGGCCCTCAATCACGGTGACGGTGCGGTGGTGGTGATACTCACGATGGGCGACAACGACCATCACATAACAACAGGACTGCTGCGAGTGCAAGTAGCGAGGTCGACAGAGGATGTTTGTCATGCTGACGTTAACCGACTTGACTTCTCGACAAACTAATGACTTATGACTCTAGAGGGAAAAACGACGAGAGTCACCTCGGGCAACAACTTCAGTTCTTTTCATACACTGCGAATTGTCTTTTCCGTCGGCTCGTCCCTCTCGTCCTACTCCTGCTCATGACCTGTTTCTCGGCGTTGCCATCACCATCGCCACGCCTACCCCTCAACACAACCGCCAGAGTCGCCACCACCAGCACCACGTCATCGATGTCATCACCACTTTTTGTCATCTTCATAGCCATCGTCCTCTCAAAACCGAGATCTTCTCTTCATCACCCTCCTGACGCGTACCGTGCATCTGATCTTGGTCTTGGCACCGGGAGCAGCTCGCTGAATATCGCAAGGCTCCTGGCCTCCAGAGTCAGCTCCCAGAAGAGGCAGCCCGTGTTTGGAGCCGTCATGGCGGGAGCTGGGCACTGACGGGGGTGCTTTTTAGGGAGAGGTATAGGACTCAGGAGTTGAGGGTTTAGGGGGGTAGGAGTTCAAAGCTTCTGGCTCTGCAGCCCGAAATAGCTTCCAGGCCAGCCCAATCGACATCCCAGGATAAGGTCTGAAGTTTTACCGCTCCGGACTCGAATGTGGCCTCCTACTTGCACTCCATGGTTCTTCGCGAAGGATTCCATCTTGCGGGCTCCGGGCTCAGGATGGCATCTCTGGCCCAACAGGCAAATCGAGGCTCGAGCGGACATCTTGGAGATCTTTAGGGTTTCGGCGCTCACACTCCGACACTCTGGGAGGGTTTAGGGCCCAGGGTTTTGGGATCATGCTTCATCAAGGCTACTGACAATCTGACACCTAAGATGCATGATGTGGTTTTCCGGCTTGGCATTCCTAGCGCCAGGTGCCCTGCTGGGGTTCTTTTGAACCGAAGCTGCCGGCGGTTGCAGGCGGGGAAGTTGGAACGCCCTGCATGATACTGCCTAAAAACCCTGCAAAGGTAGCATAACTAACGCCAATAAACAAAGACGTCGCATGTGCGGCCATGCAGAACTCCAAGCGAGGGGTCAAGGATGCCGAGCGGTCGGGAATCAGGTTTTACGGGGCCTCAGGTTCAAAAGATGCTGAAACTGTACTCCGAGGACCAGGCTCAAGCGGCTACGATGCACCCAGGAAAACAAACAATAAGCCCATGCTGCAGCCGTATTGTGGGCAGCTGCCGCTCATTGAGAAAACATGCCATCGTGCATCGCCCTGATCTCCCCAAGTGGCCCACACCCACCAAAGCAATCTCAAGCTTCGTTCCCCGAGCCAGAAACTCCAAAGCCTAAAGATCAAACCCGCAACGCGAACCTGCACTCAAAATGCTAGCCTCCGCATCCGTGAGTTTACGGCCCACGCGGAACCCTGATCGTGAGATGGCTGCCTGCCTCAAGTCTTTAGATGCGTGTCCCCGACGGGATGCGCCTCTCCAAGAATTCTGCCAGGTCCCCCCCGTTTGCACGGAGCGAGACGACGAACAGATACTCAGAGTCCTCCAAAACGTCCTCGTATGCTCCAGGGTTCAGGAAATTTTGGGAGGCCTCAACATGCAAGGTTTGCAAATTTAAAGCTTTCCGCATGCTCTTGGAGATATCAGCCCGGGTCGAAGGGTTCGGAACAGCCCACCCTGATCGAACGCAATGCTTCAAGCATGCCCACTACTTGCTGTCGTTGAATGATGTCTTGGCCGGACCCTGAATGCCCTACCCACCTCGAGCACCGTAAGATCATGTGAGACAGTCGCAAAACAAAGCATGCTTAATGACTCAAGCTCCTGCCAGAGCACTCCACAGATCCATTCAGCAAAGGTGCAGTGACAGCGGACAGCATTGGGTGCTGAAGCATCTTCCTAGGCTAAGTGCACAGATCGCAATATGTTTCAGGCTCTACACGCATTTCTTGACCCAAGGAACTCTGTTGGAACAACCCGCACCTGGATTGATAGAAGTCACAACCATTGCCGGGTCCAAGCCCAGATTGTGCCCCGGTCATGTATACCAGTGCTGCAGCTGCGCCCCGGTAAGTATCTGTGACAACTTTTTCAGCACGAACTGACGTGCCGGCCAGCGCCTATGTAACCCTCACCCCCTCTTAAGGCAAGAGCACACAGGAAAAGCTGTGGATGACAACGAACGGATGCTTGGCTGAAGATCCCCCTGAGGGTAAAGAACGGCAAGGAGCTGTGACAACTTACAACCACAACGATCACCAAACCCATGGTCAGAATCGCACAATAGAATCCCAAAATCATAACATAATCGCATCGTGTTTGACAAGGCTGGTCGTCCCAAAACTCATGAACAGCGAGCTTTCTGACAGTCAAACACTGTTCCGGGGCATCTGGCTCTTCACCTTCGAAAAAGAGTATTCTTCGTACTGCTCAGGACGCAGTGTCCCACCTTTTCCATCGCAGTTGTCACCACAACGCGTGAGCTCACGACGACACTTCTGAAAACACGATTAACCCCTGCATCCCATTCCATAGACGTTATGCAGATAAACTCTTGCTTGCATTCCCGGCCGAGCAGCAGCTTCGCAAGCTCTTGCGAAGCCGCCCAGACATTCGTGAGACGCGGCTTGAAGATGGAGCGGCACCTAGTACAGAATGAAAGCGTGAAAACCTCTAACTATTTCATAACAACACAATCACAAAGCGTTGCCGTGCTAGAAATGACAGAACAGCGTAGCAACACTGAGAAATTTGACACCCTACAATAACTTCAAGAATGGCTTCAGAACACTGTGTTGTGAGGTCTTCGCGAAGCAAAGTTTGCCAGTCTTGTCGTGGCGATTTTCTGTTTTTAGCTCTATTCTAGGGTTACTGACACATGTGACATATGGAGGTTCGCGAATGTTTACAAGCACGCAGCCACCGCTCGTTCATGCTCGCAGGTTGCCGTCTTTCAAGCGGTGCCACGAAGCACTTTCAGCTCGAGGCTGCCAGAAATCATCTGTCGTTCGCCCGTGCAGAAGCGTCTTAGAGTCGTGTAAGGGCTTTCTAGCTAAAGTATTTACAAGACTGCTGTGCTACCTCGTCTCGCTGTCCATTTTTACCGTGCGACTCCATCTGTTCAAGACCCCGAGACTCTGCTTGTGCATTGGGAAGTACATGGAGAAAGCCTCTCAAACCCAATCACCCAAATGAAACAGCAGTCGAAGCACTACGACGACCTCCACTCCAGCACCACCACCAACCACAAGAGTCACGAAACTGCACAGATGCAGGTCTGCTAACTAAAAGGACGGTCGCCTTAACTCACAGAGTTTGACGAAGGCAACCTCTGTGAAGCCGCAACAACACGTGACGACGACAAAGGGAAGCCAGTGATGCTGGTGGGCGTGCTCTTCATGACGACAAGGGCTTCTGATGGTGGCGATGATTGTGCTGGTCCTGATGGCAGCCTCGGGGTGCGGGTGGCGGTGGGCATTGTGGCGGTGATTGCTGTGATGTTCTTGGCGATCGCGCATGGTGATGGGGATTCCGGGTTGGGTTCCGTTCCTATTGGTGCCCCCTACTGAGTTCGTCTGCAGCCCGTGTCGACAACAAGGAGCTTGCGAGGAGGTTGTGGCTGCCTGCGACCTGCCCTGCCAATGCCGTTGCCGCCGCAGAGGCTGCTCTCAGACGGGTAGGAGCCTTTGTGCTGGTGCTGAGGTGCTGCTCTGAGCCGGGCACGTTTTGAGAACCCCGGATCGGCGGTCCTTTGGCATCGCGACGCGTTTGGTTGAAAAGTGAAATGCAGGCTGGTGCCAATTCACTTTGGACTGATGGGTTGGACAGGGCCAAGCTCGGGGCGCAAACCTTGGTCGCCTTAGACCCTTTCGACGACTGAAAAGTCAACCAAATCAACCCCAACGTGATTTCACAGGACGGGGCTCCCCGTGAAAAAGGTAGCTGGAGACTGAAGCCTCTCGGCATGTCCCCCCCTAGTCCCGCAGTCCCGGTCCCGGTCCTTCAGGACCTGAACTGAACCCATGGCCCAGACTCCGACGTCATACTCGAAGGTGAAGTGCTGCTCCCTCGGAAGACTTGTGTTTCTTCGAATTTCCGTGCTCTGCTGGGCTTCAGGCTTACGCCAAACAGTGAGAACCGCAAGCTGAACATGCAGCCATCTACGTCGCTGCTCTCCGCCTTGCACCCACTAGTTTACGGAGGTCTCGTTGCCAGAGCGTCCACACAAGCCCCTTGCAAGAGGACCCCTCCATCTGCAGGCCTAACTTCTATCCCTACCAATCTCAACAGGAAGGACACAGATTCCTGCAGCCCCACCTTTGACATACATGCATGAACTTCTGTGATGGATCACAGCTGACACCAGGTGTGCAGCTGCTTCTATGCGACAAAACTTCAGCCAGCGCTGGGCCTTCCTTCCTCCAGAGATGCAGCACAACCTATAGACGGAAAGCGACCTCTCAACCTAGAACAAGGAAACAAAACCTCTGCAGATCAGACCAAGGACGGATCTCGATGTCAGGTTCTGCTGCCCTGGAGGTCTGAGAGCTCCGCTGCCTACAAAGAGTTGTTGAGCCGAAGCTCCAGTGCATCACCGATCGCGATAAATCAAAAGACCGAATTGAGCCCCAGTTGGGCATGCAGTTCTTTCGTATTTGGGAAGGCTTTTCGTGCGAAACTCCTCCATGGATGCTCCCGGCCCAACTACATTCACCCTCATACCTGACATGAACTGGTAGGCAGAGATGAGGCAGGCTCGAAACCCACGTAAACCTAGTCGGCAACAAGACCAGGACCAGGAGCGTTTGGTGCAGAGTCAATGCTCAGGAGCTCTCTTCCAGAGCAGAAAACTAGACAGCTGCCATACAGGGGCAGTCTCTCCAAGATACGAATTTAATGCATGGAACAATGGATTAGGGCAGCCACAACTGCGCTGCACTCAGCAAGCTCCTCACCGGTTGAGCACAACATCCCCAGAGACCGCGCGATGGTCGCTGCCTGCGGCTCGCGGCCATATCTGAGACTGCACGATGGACTGGCCTACGGAAAACGGCGTCTTCTGGAAGTACACATAATCCAGTCGCACCGGGTCATCGTTGATCGTGGAGGGGTCCGGATTGCCGGGATGAAGCTCGGCCCATGCATCTGTGAACGTCATTGGAATTTGCCAATGCCGCCCAAAGGCCTCAACCTGCCCTTGTCTCAAAAGCTGCTGCGAAGGCTGGAAGTAGCCGGTGTTCAAGTCCCCCATGAGGACGATGGGGTACGGATGACGGTTCTGCACCTGACTTAAGGTCTTGGTCACGAAATCGACAGCCTCTGTAATGACGTAGTCGCCCTGACAGCAAAGGGGATGTGTCCCAGATGCAATCAGTGTGTAGCCATCAGACTTGCGCCTCAAGGCTGCCCAATTAATAGCACGCCCTGCCGAGAAGGGAACAAGGTCGCTAGCAATGTGCTCCCACTTGTCAGTCCTGAACAAGATGTCTGCATCATTGAATTGCTCGGTGGCTCCTCCTGTGGCAAAGGCCCAAACGCTGCCGGACCTCTGGTTGAGCAGATCCAGGATGGCACCCTTCTCGTGCCACATCTCTGGAATGGCCGCGATCTCTGGTTGCATTCGCAGAAGCTCGTCCACGACAGGATGGATACGGCCGGCCAATGTGAAGACGTAAAGGTTCCAGGTGACAAAGCGCGTCGCTTGACCTTGGGAGTTCTGGTTCTGCCAGTCGCTGGACACCTCCCTGGCCGGTGCTCCTTCAGGCCAAGCACAAGGGCTGCCACCCAAGGAGCACCAACCATCGGCCTGTAGGTGGCAGTCCCAGATAGGGTTGGGGCTGTCCACGTCCTTGGAGCATGCCATGGGCTCCTTCTGCTCTCCACACCACGAAGCACGTGCCAAGTGGAAGTTGGGTTTCTCTGTACAGCTGGGAAGCTCGGCGAGGCCGCGTGTGAGGCCGCGGAGCATCGGCACCGAGGCTTCTGCGAACGCCCGCGGTGCAAGCAACACAAGCTGGAGGGACAAACACATCATGACGGACGAGCTCTGCATGGCTGCGGAGTTGAGGCTTGCAGCAATCAACTGAGACCTGAGCCAAAACGGCTAGTTGCAGGCGGCCGGCGGCTCGTGTTTTACATCTGAGATATGAGACCTCGCTTGATTTGAAAATGTCCATGGCGCAGTATATGTGAGCTTCAGGATGCCTCGACCAGTACCCGCTTTGCTTGCTGCAAGTATTGAAACCCGAGCCTTGTCACTGAGTGAAGGTGTTTCGCTAACGTCACACTGCATGGTTGGAACACCACAGTTCTGGGCCGGCTAACACGAGCGCAGGTAATGCTACAAAGATGCCTGCTACTGCTACTGCCACTGCACGTTTGCATGTATGGTATATCGCTAGTTGCTGCCCTTGTTTGCAGGTGTACGTTACTGATGGCTATTTGTCGCAACTCTTCCGAGTGGCACTTCCTTTTCCGCTTCCCATCAACGCTACTCTCACCCTAAACGATTCCATGTGCCAGCTCCAACGACACGCTCCCGAAGATAAATGTCTCTAACCATGTCCGGTTGTGGCTCAGAGTCATTGCCAGCATTTCGTATTGCGAGGGCCTGCGCATTCGTAGTAGGAAAGGTCTAAGGACATCGCAAAATGCCACGCGAAAAACTTCCGCAGGTGACATTACACTTTAGATCTCGAAACTTCATTGGGCCGAAAAGCAGCACGAAGCTTCGAACTCCCACTGCCAGCGTGGTGGGCGGCGTTAGCATTGGACCGGGCGTTGGCATCGAACCCGGCCTGACTTGGAGAGCGTTGAGGCTGTGATAGGCAGTGGGCGTCTTGCAACCGACGGCAACAGTGGCGAGAACGACTCTGCACCGAGTGACGGACCCTCCAACCTCATCTACTGCCCAACCTTACGAAGCTCTCACAGCAACGATAATGCTACGAGAAACCATCGAACCAGTAGCCTGGCGGGCTGTACAACCTTCCCTGGTGCGCACGAGCCTAGCACAGAGGAGTTTATCCGGCGGGCGCAGTCACGGCCAACGTGAACGTGTTCGTGGGAATAGTCAACGCAGCTTTGTTCGGGCAGCAGCAGTATTTTGAGCGATCCTAGCAGTGCTAGAAGCATCGTCTCTTTGATAGGACTGGCAGCAGCGATTTAACACACAGAAAGGCAGCGTACCTGTTCACAACAGCTGAAGCAAGCATTAGCCATGATTTGGGGGGCTTGCAATGGTCGCAACCAACAGAAACAGTGACAGTAGTACCAGGGACGGTTACATACTGTAATCGTTCGCCGGTGAAATCGCCTCGACGAAAAGACATTCAATGTATGCTCCGCCCTTCCAGGTACAGCAGTCGGTCTATCAACCCTGGAACACCCGGAATACCCGTCCAAAACAAGCCTTTCCAAAACTACACCATTTTCGCACAGAAGCACTGAAGACACGGTCATCAAGTCCGGGTCCCCGGCAGCCCTCCAAAGGAAGCACACATCCGCCAAAGGCTCCCAAGCACTAAATCATTGCGGCAGTGTCTGCTCTCACATGCCGGAGACACAGGCTGATGAAGTGAAAATGGAAAAGGTCAGGGTTTTCGACTTGAGGACTCTAGGGTTCAAGATGAGAGTTCGGCGGCTGACGGTGGATGGATGCGCAGGTTTCCATTGTTCGGGCCGGCCGCCCACGATGTCGGCTTTGTGACGTCATTGAGGTTTCTGGTCCGAGCTTAAACGCTTCGAAACATGGAAGCTCTATAGTGCTCGAGATAAGAGTGAGGAACCATCTGGAGTCACATGTAAAGAGGCTACATGCGACAAGACATGCAGATACTTGGGCACATGCAACCAAAGCCCGCGCTCCTTGCAAAACAGCTTACAAAGCCCCACATTGAATCAGATTATCGACTGTTGGACGTTGTTGTGCTCTTGCCGGCTTGATGTGCCGATGCGTTCTGAACTTCCAGAAAGCCTTATTGAAATTCAGTTCTCGAGCTTCGGCTGCTAACCGCGCACACCCTGCAGTTGGCTTCCGAGTCCAAACAGGCAGATCTCGGCTGTCTTCGGGTCGTCGGAGTTCAAGCTAGGTGATCGCGACACGCGAAATCTTGATGCGTCAGAATGAGCCTGGGGATGGGCTTTCGCGGGTTTAGTGCACTCTTGCATGCTAGCCGCAAGCAGCGGCACATCAACAAACTCACGGCTGCCGAAGTCTTAAAAATATCGAGCTGCCTGGACGCTGGGCCCTGGTGGACCTTCAGATTGTGGTATCGAGTTCCAGGCTTCAGTTCCACGACCACCTCTAGCACCAAAGAAAAAGAGATGGCCATGCCACCAACCACACATGCCACCAACCACAACCCACAGCAACAGGAAAACACCAACCAAACACAGAACAAGTTGCCAAAAGACAAAGCAGCAACGATAGCAGCAAGGGCAAAAGCAGCAGCCAAGGCTACAGCTGGAACTTTCCAAGCCAGGCACATGTCCATAGGTCTGATAGGTGGCAGCAACAGAACCGGGGATTGGAAGACAAAAACCTTTGGAAATAATGTTAATGAGGGCTTCGGACTTCTGGTATCTTCAGGGTTTATGATGTCTAGGATTTTCGGCTTAGAACTGAGGGCACAGGAGCATGGAGGGATTGTAGGGTTAAGGTGTAAGTGCAGGTGGAGTTTGCTTTGTTCAGGTCAGGGCATTGGTAACGGAGGCTTTCGGCCGCCGCGAAGCCCTCAGAGACCCTGGCTCTTCAAGGTGGGCAGCGACCTGCTGCCCGCGCATACGATGAGCGCACCTACGCGATGCACTTTGCTGATCTTGCACCTGCTTCTCGTGAGCTGCTGTTGCCAGCTGGGCGCATGGCCATGCAGTCTAGGATTTGCACCTCCTGTAAATGGTGGGAGAGACGAAGGAATTGCTACGACCATGGCGGCGATTGCACTTGCTACTGCTTCTGCTTTCGGGCGCCCAAATCACATAGCCGGCTACGACTTTATAAGGCACCCTCGTCCAGATGATCGCAAACGTCGATGAAAGCAGTTGTATTGATCAGCACAGTTCAGGTTCCTCCGGGATTACAGAAGCATCACGTACCTGGACCAAGAAACGGGCACAGGAGGTGCTCTGCTTCAAACCGGCTGCAGACGTACGATCCGTGGACTGGCAACGGAGTGCCCTGGAGTGTCAATGTCCTGTTCACAACAAACATACTCGCCACTGCAAGTTGAACAAAGTGCAAACCAAGATCTCCGAACGACACAAGGAAGCCGATGAGTCACTTGTTTCCGGCCTCCGTTTCGCGAAGTTACGCACAACAGCACTTTTCGCCCTTCGACATCAGTCACCTTGTCGCTGGTCGGCGCTTTGCGCAGATTGATCCTCTGTGGACTGCTCGGGGGGCGGCCAATGATGTTGGGGCGTGCCTTTTAGGGCTTCAAGTCGTAAATTCAAGGTATGGCGTTTGCCTCCGAATCGGCCTTAGGGAAAGGCTTGATATCAAGACTCCACCCATGGTTTGAGTTTCAACCAAGCCCCGGGCTGTCATCCGACATGCGCAGCAAGGCTCCTTAAACCCGTTCTTGGGCAGGGACTGCAATGGACTAAGCCCTGTCTTCCTTCAGCCCCTGAACCCTAGGGTCTAAATCCTGAAACAAGAAGTTGCTACGATTATTTCGTGCAAATAGTCATTATGAAACGCGTGCAAGTACAAACACATAGAGAGAGAGAGACAGCTAGATTGATATATATATATATATGTATATATACACATACACACATATATATATATATATGTATGAACATGTTCTGTGCACGATTGAACCTTGAGCCCCAAAGTGCTGAAGTCACGTTCTGCAGAGCCTACGTTTCGCTGACCTTGAGGCCCTTTCTCCGTAATCTAATTTTCTGGACTTAATCCCAATTCGCTAGACCCCGGAACTCTCTGCCGCCACCACCTCCGCACTCCACGAAAGGCTTTGCACAACAGCCATCAATCCGATTCGAAAGTCTTGCCAAAGGATGCTATGATGCTTGCCTAACTTGGTTCGTGGCTATTGTACGTCTTCCAAGTGCTGGCTTTGAGCTTGTGGTAAATTTTCCAAGTGTTCTTAGCATGTTGCGACGTACAATAGCCCGCTACGGAGATGCAGGACCTTCGCTTCGAAAGATCACCAAACAGACAAGGAGCGCATCCTCGAGAAAAAAATTGGAGCAGATTCTGCCGCAATTCTTAGCCCGAACACTTCTGGGACTTATGATGTCCCAGAGTGCGTTCGCTGTCCAATATCTGACAGACATGGGGGTTGTTCCAATCATCGCTGTTGGAGGTATATACGTCATGGAGAGCTTACTGCCCAAAGCATACATGCACATGCATACATATCTTTATATGCTACCCCCCTCATGTACCCACGCTTTGTGATTGAACCGCGTGCGAAAACTCACATGAGATTTCCTTTACTTGTATGGTAGTCATTGCTTGCAGTGTGTTCTACACGCAGGAGAAAGTTCATGTGATCCATACGTATGCGCACATTTACATTGGTGGCAGCAATAGACAGATGTTGCATGTGTTGTCGAATGAAGCAGAGCTTGAACACACGAGTTGTCCCAAACTCCCAGGTGCAATTGGTGTCCTAGGACCTAGGACACAAACTTTTCATACACCCGGTACACAAGTCACCGCAACCTATCCAAATGTCGGCATTTCGCTTCCAATACTCGTACTGGGCCGATCTGAGCTTTGCGCGGCTGCCCGCTTTTGTATGCTGGTTCACAAGGACACGCTCCTTGAGAAATCGCCAGCAGCGGTCGATGATCTGTGTGCCGGATTTGACCTTGAAGGTCTTCCCCTTAGTACCGGGCAGCTTGTGGGTAGTTTGGGCGTTGCCACTGCCATACCGTTGACCTTCACTCGCTTTTCGCAGTCAACCACCTTGTCGTGCAGGACCGCAGGAAGCTTGAGCTACAACTTGGGAGAGTCTGTGTGCAGGATCATTTTGCGATCCCGCAACAGCTCTCGCGATCATCAGTCTCGATGTCCTTCCAAGACTTCCCATCCCCGAACACAATGTCCTTTTCCTTCTTCTCGACATACTCCTGCCTCAGCTCGCAGATCTTCTTCTCCATGTCCTCAATGGTCTTATGGTTGACGTCGAGAAGAAAGTGGATCTTGCTCCGGGGGATCCTGTGCAACCTGAATAGAATATGAGCGGCCTGCATTTTGAGGGACTGAGCCTGCGGTCCTTGGCCTTCGGTGAAGAGTGGGTGTAGATGGTGGGGGTTCATCCACGAGTGGCAATTGCGATGACTGCACCGATGTCTGAAGCAACCGCGGGGATCGAGCCGCAGCTTGGACAAGGTGCCTTCCGAGCAGGTAGGGCAAGTCTTGCCCTCCCATTTTGGGATGAACTTGTCGGCGATGAGGACATTGATGATCTCCTTGTCGGAGGCTCGCAGCAGCTGACGAATCGTCCTTTTCCACTTGGTTTGGTCCTTGCGCTGTCCACGAGGACCCACAGCACACTTCTCACGAACATATTGGACATCCTTCCTAGTAGTGGATGTTATGGCGGCGGGTCGCTTCTGGACGGATCTGAGCTTGCCCTTCTTTGGCACGGCGTTGCTGACAATGCTCTTGCCCCTAGCTGTCCACTGGAATAAAGGGATGTTGGAGAAACGAGGGAGTGGAGGTAGTTCTGCAAGGTCGCCTTCGGCTACAAGTTTGCCAATGGTATTGGCACCGCCACACTCCACAATGCCCACACGAGAGTCCCTGATCACAGAGGCAGACGATCGCCCGAGTCGCTAGTGGAGATGTCAGGATGAGGAAGGACCTTAACCTGCCATCTCCGATCGGAAAGTTGGTTCATGCCCTCATCAAGTAATCGACCCGACACTGGCGGGAAGTATACCTGAGAGGAAGGATGGCTTTTGTGCTAACGCAAAGCCTCGGGACACGAAAGCAGACGTGGCATTGGGTGTTGGAAAATGCATGCAATATGGTATTTGCGTAGGACACTACTTAACCGAGAACTACCCACATCACTACTCACATCAACATGCAAGCCGAAAGCACGTGTCTCGGACTTCGCTCACACTTTTGTTCTCGCTGCTGTGGGTCTCGAGCAGGTGTACGGCTACGTGTCTCACAACAAAACTTGGGCATGGGCATCTTGATAGACCTTATGACTGGGCCTTGCACTGTGCGATGCGAACCATCAACTGCTCAGCAAGTTGGGTTGTTGCAGGCGGCCTTTGTTATAGCCAAGCTGCCGAGGTGTAGGTGTCCGCCCAATCCGAAGTCCACTGAAGGACCTCTTGGCACATAGGCCCTAGGCCACGGTGCGGTATTCTCCGACTCGCTTGGCGAATACGAGGACGACGAGGAATCTTCGGGTGGAATGCCATTATCCTCGGGGTTGGTCTCAACAATATGCGGGATGGCTTGTAGTGGAATGCCGTTCTCCTCGGGGTTGTTCTCAACAATGTCCTGGATAGCCCTTGGTGGAATGCCGTTCTCCTCGGGGCTGTTCCCATGGATAATAATGGATTGCCCTCTTGGTCCTTGGAAACTGTGTCATCGTCATGGAGGGCTAGCACGGGCTTTTTTGTGGGATTCGCGCATTGGCTCACTGAGAATACGCATCAAGCGAACGAGTGCAGCACCATTCCAAGAACCTGATATGCCAGTAGGAAGGCCCTCTGAACAACATGAGCAGGGTTCCCTGGTTTTCGGCAACCGTGTATCGTGGATTACGATTACGCGGTCCCGAGCCTGTTGGATGATGTCCGCCATACTGGGTCGTGTTTTGGAGCCTCTGGGTTGGGTGGCGCTGTGCTGGCCGAGCTCCTTGTGGTGCTAGTCGGAGTACAGCCCCCTGCTGTGAGATCTCCGCGAAAGAGTGCCATTGCAAACGAGAGGTTGAAGATAAAGGCCTGTACACTACATGCAGCGGCCTCAAGTGGAAGAGAAGTGGAACAGACACGATTTGGAACCACAACGGCACATGTTCAAGAATATTCAAAACGTATTCACTTGAATATGCCTCGAATCCAAGATTCAAGATTCAAGGTGCAGGGCAAGTCTCTCCCTGGCACCTCGCATCTTGAATCTTAGATCCGAGGGGTATTCAATTCAATACGTTTTGAACACGTTTGAATACGCGCTATCTTGATCCGGGCGAGAGTTTCGTACTTAAAGATAAGGAAGAAACATACGATCTACAGACACTCCCGCGATCCCATTGACCCACGCCGTCCTACAGCTGAGATTTCGGAGAAAGGCATGAGTGCAAGGGCATCCCAAGAACCCATGCCTTCCTGAAGCAGAGATTGAGAATACAGCGGGGTACCATATGTGTGTATATATATATATATATACATTCGTATTTATGTATATGTACATAGGTATATAGATGTACACACATGGGACAACCCACAAGGGACAGCCGGGGAATGCAAAACGAGGACCCTGAACCTCGGCCCCGACGTGTCGAGACCTTGGGCAGAAAAACTACCAAGAGTACAACCACAGTATAGATAGCCCGGATGAGCGTCAAAGCGATAGTGGCAATAGTCGTCGAAACCGGAAACCCAAACTCAATGGTAGCAACAGTAGTGGTAGTAGGTAGGTTAGCACTAGTACCAAAAAAGTAGAAGCTGCCATCGCCGTCAGTAGTTGCAGCCGTGGCAGCGGGGCCAGCACTGGCAGTAGCAGCACCAGTACAAGTAGCAGTCCTAGTCGTTATCTTCTTTGTCGTCGTCGTCGTCGTCGTAGTAGTAGTAGTAGTAGTAGTAGTAGTAGCAGTAGCCGCAGTAGTAGTAGTCGTCGCCGTCGTAGTAGTAGTAGTAGTAGTAGTAGTAGTAGTAGTAGCCGCAGCTGTAGAAGTAGCATTCGTCATCGTCATCGTAATCGCAGTAGTAGTCGTAGTCGTAGTCGTAGTCGTAGTCGTAGCCGTAGCCGTAGCCGCAGCCG